CAACACAAAGCAGGGGGGTTCTCTCCGTCTCATACCTTGCTGCATATGATTCACTATGGAAATTCCCCCCCCCCCCCGACACACACACCCACACCATGCCAGAGCAACAGTGGCCTAATCAGTGTGGCCGTTTGTCGACTCTCATACGCTGAACATGCTCAGACTTTGTACTAATTGTGCATTTTTGAAATAACCAAAGTGGCTCATTGAGCCCAGAAATCACAAAATGCAGGAGAGACGCAACAGAAGGCAAAATGTGTACAGGGGATTTTAATAACAACTGACGTCGCTCCAGCGTGACTGTACGGAGGTTGTGCGCAGCAACAAACTGCTTTGGTAATGGAAAGATTGCACAAAAGATCCACTCATGTCTTTGGAGCAACAGCTCTGAAAATGACTGCCAGACGCAACCTCTGTATGGAGTACGTGTACAGTTGTTCCAAGGTGAAAGGCCAATTGACTGAAACCTTAAGGCAAATAGATGGAGTTATGGCTGAGTGACTTGTGTGGACCACTAACCTCGACCTGCAAAACATTCAATGCCTACAAAAGGGCAGATACATGCCTTATACACGCACATAGCACACACGCACTCTCTTAGTTGCTCCCCGTTCATTCAAATTCAATTTTATTTGGTCTATGTTGTATAAAAGCGGATAAGTGTGTTCCATCGGCGATCCACTTTAAAATGTTTCTTTAAAAACACCAACGAAGACATTCAAGCTACATAATCACAAGTAATTCGCAATAAGATAAGAAAAACCTAAAACAGAATTAAACTAATTACGGTAGATTCTCATAATTAAAAGACCAAATTAAATAAAAAATGGAAAACAATAACAATTATAACAATCAATGCACTTATTACCATGCGTTTCCCCGCTTAACTGCGGAATTATACGGTTGAAGTGAGCTGGGAACAAATCTTACTCTTATTCTGTTGACAAAGTGAGCCAAACATGAACATGTTGAATTGAAAGTTAAAGCACTTAGTTATACACAAACTCATAAAATAAATGCAACATTGTCCGATTGACATAAAACTCTCTCATTTTCCGAAGGAACTACTTACGTTGGTTTGGTTAGCCCTCTTACACATCGGTTAAGTGTTTCTTGTCTACCACACAGATACCTTAAGTGATTGGATCATGTGCCTTAGTACTACGCCGGGAGTGAAAAATCAGTTTCTTCGTTTTTGTGTAGTTATCCCATGAAATGTTGCCCGTTTTCAAAGGATTTGCATCAGCATTTGAGAAACAGTACAAGCCGTACCTGCTGATGTATGTGTTGGGATGGGTGTGTTTGTGCTAACCTTACATACCTAGTGTGGACATGTGAACAAAAGATGTCCACGTGATGCAGGAAAGGAAGACGTTCTGTGGACTTACACGTCCACAGGACGTTTCCCCTTCTGTGAAAAAGAAGTTAAGAGGCATTGTGGGGTTGGGGTCATCCGTCGTAACAGGAAGAGAAACAGTCAAGGAAACCTTGTACAAAAAAAACCAGCTTAAAACCGTGTTCCCAGTTCAAGAAAAATTTGTATTTTCACTGAATTTTCTTAACTGCACGAAAAGAAAGGAACGTCCATAGTAGGCATGTAAGGTTGGGTGAGTGTGTGTGTTCTTAAGAATTGAAAAGTGGAAAACAAGATTCACCCTTCCCTCCGATCGAAGAACAGGATGAGAACTCACCCTCTCACATTAAATGCCATGGATTTTGCTTTAGGGAGTTTTACCTTGAGATTTCTCTCAGAATAGATTCCTTTGGTTTTCCTCATTTCCTCAGAAAATGGTCGATGTCTAGGTGTAATTTCGTGCCCTGATTATTAATATTATGCTATTTGTGCAAACAATCAGAGATAGTAAACATGGGCATAGTCCTTGTCATGAGCACAATGCAAGAGAAATCCCTTTCTACCAGGACGTTTTCCGAATGTGCATTCCGTTTTTTATTCATCGTGGTATCTTGCACAACACGACCGACCAACGATGTAACAATTGTTAAAAAGCAGTTCGGCGGTCTATAAATATCGGGTCGGAACATTGCCTATGTTATAAAGTTTCACACACGGCCCCTTATAATTTAATCGACAGCCCTACCTAATCGCCAAAGCTTGTGATTGCCATATACATGTAGTTTATTTCATAAGGTTTATTTCATAACGTGTATTTCATAACTCCTCACGTGGTGATTTTGTATCCCCATCCCGTTTTACATGGTTTTAAAGTCATACGTGACAATGTCCTCTGCACTCTGTCACATTGGATTAGTCTTGGCCCAAGACGTCAGTGATAGATTGTTGTTTTATTTCTGTTGAAGAGCGCCCTCGCACTAATAGTGAGTCGATGGGGGCGCACTATGCACGGTGTCCGCTATCAAGCACTAACGTCTTGAAACCAAGACTACCCTTAGATCCGCGGAGAAATGAGGAAAAGGTTAGTAAGCTTTGACCCTGGGGGGGGGGTGCTGTTCTGTCTTTCAGTAACAAGCCACATGCATGAAATAGCTTTAGGCTTATATCCTACTCTGCTATAGCTGGCAATATACCCGGCAAGATATGGACGGAGGGAGTACCCCCCCTTACCTGTCCAATCCCAATACACACTCTAGACTATTGTTACCTGAGACATCCCCCCTAGAAGTCTGTGAAGAATTCCTGAGATTCCGATCAAACAATGACCAACACAAAGGCGGGGGGGGGGGTGTTCCCTCCCTCCCACATCTCGTTTCCAACTTGAAAGGGCTGGCAAGGCATGAAGCCGTCTGCCTGGAAGGCCGGGCTACAACGCTTCAGAGCGACCAAAAACCGACAGCCTTTACCGAAGTCGTTTCTGGGTCACAGACAAGGCCCAGGCAAGCCAGGCAGCCGTTGTGTAAACAACCCTTGATGTTTGTACACATTCCTATTACGAAGTCATATTGATATACTACTAAAAATAAACTCAAAATAAGGTTATATGACGCTGTAACATTAGCAATCCGCTGATCTGCTCTTCTTGTCCGCCTCCGAGTCCCCAACAACGTGCAGCCTCATTCCAATCCTAATTTTCCACTTGTTCCTGCAATGAATTAATCCAAGGCATAAATCCGACGCCCAGTCCTGAAATCGAAACACATGTAAGTTAACACACAAGTTGGGCGTAGCACAACGTATAGATACCTGTCATTTTCTTAAACACTTGCTATACGCCCCAATCGCTATGTTAGTTTTGTCTCAGGTCGTATTTATGTGCTCCTATATCACTGTCCTCCGTAGTCACAGAAAACGTGAAGAAAATTATTGTATTGGATTACTTTCACTATTTTAGCTAATTTGTTTTTGTGAAACTTTGAATCATCAGATCATATATATTATAATAATAATAATCTTTATTATATACAATTATATATTATATACATATATGTTTCATTGACTTACTCTAAAAACCCATCACGTTTTTCAAATATATCTCAAACAGCACACTGCACAAACTGTGGTGTTGAAATCAACACTTTTTCAGATGACCACACCATAGGGTGTTGCTCGAACACCGCTGGTGTTACTTTCCACACCTACAAGTGTTTAAAAGCACTGAAAGGTGTTACAAGTAACACCAAATTACACCAAAATCTTTAACACCAGTGCAAAGTGTTGGTGCAGTCCTCTGATAACACGTAGGGTGTTAAATTTAAAACCCCATGTTTTGCAGTGTAATATGTAATTTTTTAAAATAACAATTTATGATGTTTGTTTAATGCATTTAAATGTCAGCAGTAGTTAAAGCTTAATCAAACATCCATGACATGTCACAGTTTAAGAACGTTTAAAAAATGTCAGTATAATATTTGTGTATTTTTTTAAGATCAACTACAGCTTTACAAGTCATTATGCCAACATCATTTTAACATGGAACCATCGATAAGATGCTATTACTATGATGTTCTAAAAATGTCGAATCTTGTGAAATATATCTATTAAATCAGCGAGTTTTAAATATCAATAGGTGATGCTCAAGTGAATTGAGCATCAATTAAGTTTACTTAAGTAAACTTAAGTTTATGTTCTGGTTTGAAAATGTTATCAACACCGGTACATCACATTTCCTTGATATTTTGATATATCCTTGATATATTGGCTACAGCAATACAAGTATATTGAATTCACACCATTCAAGCATTTCAGTACCACTATTATAACCTTGTGAAATACCGTGAGCCGTAAAAGGTTTCCTAAACAGAATCATAATGCCAAAATTAATATTTGTGTTTTCATTTTCGATCACCTGAAGACCAATTCTATTGTGTATTTATCCCACGTCCTATAAAAAGCAAATTCCTACAGTTTTTCATCCTCCCTTGTCCATTTGTCCAAAATTCAGTTTGAGTCAGTTGAGTATCCCAGTTGGACAGGAACTGAACGAAATGAGATTGGAATGTTCACTGGAGAGTTGTTAACTACACGGTATTCACAGCGTTTGCTCCCATGAAAGTAATCCATGAAATTAGGTCCGTATTTGCTGTTAAACTGACGAAGATATACCATTGGAACAGTGCATAGAAAATATGTTGCGCCAATCGCATATATAAGATAAACTGGGTGAAAGAAGATCACAGAAAATGGAGGTCCGGCGAGAATAGCCGCTGCCAGTCCCATGTTGGCTAGGCCAAACACCAATCCCGACTCTGTGGCGTAGCGCTCATCGGCGAGTGTAGAACACATGGATATCAGTGTGAAACGTGTTCCACTAGCCGCAAAGGAATGCACGAACAGGACCGAACCAGCGCCCAGAACTCCATTGGTTGAATTAAGGAGAGTCAGAGTCACTCCAGCAAGTCCCAGGGTTAATATTCCATAAACCCACAATCGATCTTTGACGATGGGAACGATTTGCGCGCTCAGGATACTGCTGGATAGAATCGCTGCACCGCACAATCCAAACACGAGAGATACAGTTGATACGTCGGCTCCAAAGGCTGATTTCATCCATATTCCCAGTGATGGGTCGAGGGAGGTCCTACCTGTGTCTGCAACGAAGAAACACAGTGCTAAGATGATGATCTGTGCATCGCCAAACACTCTCCATCGCGAGGTACCGGTCTTTAATTCGGCTCTGTTTGTGGATGTGCTGTCTCCTTCAGACTGTCTCGACGAATGGAAATTGTCGGCCCGACAAGTTACCAAAATACCAAACATCAGAAGACATGATATCGGTATGAATAGGAGAAACACTCGCTGCTTCATTATGTCAAACAGTTGTCCGGTAAAGAGTCCTGCAAAATACGTGAATGAAATTTTGGCCATTGCCAAAGCCAGTATATTGCTGCATTCCTTCGACGAATTGTCATACAGGTCTTTTATCCTAGCGATTCCTATGGGTTGGAGACAGGCACTTGCTATACCCTGAAGAAGGCGCCCAACTGTGATAATCAACATGCTTGTGTTCATAACTCCATAAAGGAGACACTTAATTATCGAAATGAGTAATCCCAACGACAGAACAGCGTCAAAGCCGCACCTGTCAGCCAGCAGGCCGGCGATGGGAGAAAAACCGAATTCCAAGACGCCAGTCGAAAAGAAAATTGCACCAACTGCGGGACTCGGCTGCGCTTCAGTCTGTCCACCACTTCCATTTGACAAAACAGCCGATACGTGGTCTGGACGCGTGGACGCCCATTCCATGCCAGACAGAAGAGGAAAGATCGCTCCGTACATCGCACTTTCGAGATACAGGGCTCCAATACTTGTCCAAATTCTCAGCCATTTTTCTGCTTTTGCATTGCAGCGAGCCATGACTGCCCAATGCACAGCGTGAGTTTATAAACCAGGAATAACAGTTTGAGCATGGGTCTATAGTGGTTCACCGAGGTACAGTTATGTTGTACAATAGTTGTACTATAGGGCTTGTATTTCGGTACTGAAAGGCTCTATATGAAAAATGTCGCAAGGGGGTTGCTATGGGTGTATTCAGCTGTACTGGTGGAGCAAGGTCGTTTTAAGGGTGTAAAAGGAGAAACAGTGGACACTGTCGATAATCGGTCACTCTGGAGAATTAAAACACAATAGGGGTCAGGACGCACCGGACAGGGTCACGGTCAGAAAACAAAAGCAACCGGGAAAACTGATAATGTTTTTCGATGTGGAGTTTTACCGTGCATATTTTTATTACATTAGACTGAAGAAAAATAAACAAATCGGTCAAATAATTTGAGAGCAAAATTCTACATTGTCTTTTCAGTTAACAACAATCTTTTGGACAAGAAGGCCATCAGCCCATTTTTTCACAAAGTGACAACTTGAAAAGTAGCCTCGTTACGAGGTCAGGGGAACTGCATTGTTGTAATTGACAAGTGTATTAAAAAACGTGTTAAAAATGCACGCACACATTTTTAAATCGAGGGCAGATCCCACAGGTGGGCGGCAGTAACGGGGGGTCATATCCACCCCCCCCTCTCCCTTAATAAAAAGGATCCAACTTTTACTTTGAAAAAATGAGAGGGTGATTTTTTTGGTTATATGAAATGCGCCCTCTACAACTATCCATAAAAGCCGCGTTTGTGCCCGCGATCCGACTTACATGCAATGGCTTGAAATAACGCACATAGGCCTACCTGTGACAGCCGTAAGCTAACGGCTTCAGACAACTTCCCTAGTCTTGCGCGTTATTGCTTGCCGTAGCCAAGAAATGATGACATTTAGCGTAATCTTTGACCCCCGCCGCCATCGCCATACATTTTGTTGACAGTGAACTGATCAACCAACCCTAGCGCTAGCAGGCGGTCATTGAGGGTAGAAAAACTGGAGCTAGGCCTATTGCCAGGTCGTACTTCTCACTGTTCATCATGTCAGCAGCAACAGCCTAAAATCTAAGGAACAGGGTAGGTAGTAACATTCCCGCCTCCACCATGGTTAAGAAGTGTTTAGCCAGCTAAACCATGATAGAGGATAGGTAGCTCTGCTGAGTCTAGCGTTAGTATTCCTCTTTTTCCATGTTGGATGGGATCGTCATACCATGGAGGTAGAAATTCTACCTCCATGGTCATACTAACGTTAGCAGAGAAAATATCGAAGCAATTACTTAACTGCTTAAAAACCCAATTTTTCAGATCAGTTTCCTCATTTGCATGGCCTAGGGACCGGGGTATCTGGATTGGCCTATGGAGCTCTTTCTCTTTCCAGTAGGCTTAGGCCTAATTAATTTTCCATCTGTCCTCAATTCTGACTCAGTGTTTTTCCTGACGTTTCATTTTATTCAATTGCTGCAGGTTGAAATGTGGGAAGATTGACTTGACAGTGTTTTATACTAGACTTGGTCAAGTTTAGAGTAAGACATCATGACCTTTGGCCTCCTCATGACGTAACTGAGAACGTGTGACTGTCTTTACCATAACCATGCAAGAAGTGCCGGTGCGTGTTGCCGTCAGGGTATGTATCGATTGTAAATGCCTCACCATGCCCTATAAGAGATCAAATTTTTAAACTGTTTATTGATTGTGCTGAAACATGCAAAAATACATTCATTTTAGCATGGCCCATAAGCAGCGAACTTAACGCATTCGCATGTAATCATACCATTTGTGACTGGGTTTGTCAACATAAGTTGTTAAAAGAAGGTGATTTTTTGTAGTGATTTTATTTGAATGGTAAACTGCGCTCCTTGTTTTCATGAAGTATTGCTGATTTGTTTTCTTTGCTTGTGTCCATCGATGCCTGTAGGTGCGTCCGTTCCTTCCGCAAGAGAAGTTACATCATCACGAGTCCTGTGTGCGTGTGGTTCCCAAGACCAACCAGGTTGTCGTTGGAAGGGACCGTGCGTTCACGTTTGATCACGTTCTGTCATCCAAGACCAATCAGGTGTGCACGTTATCCTAGCAATCCTCAGTGGTGTCTTACGTTCGGTCAGTGTTACATTTTGAAGAGTCTACCTTGTCACAATTACTTTTTTCATGACTTATTGCTCAAACTCTGTTTCAGCGTTGATAACAGAAAGAATTTCATAAATTTAACATCCCTGATTTCTCCTCGCAATCGCATATCACCAATCGGAAAGGCATAGCACACCCTGAAAAGTTAAATTCAGCATTGAAAGATCAAAGCATTTGCCAAGAAATCACACAGTATTTTCCAGACCAGTCTCCTGGGCTTGTGCCAAGTCATGTCCAGGCCTGGAACTCCTTAGATACATCATGCTGAATGGTACCGTTACCCTTATGATTACTACCTTATTTCCAGCTTAGATGCAAATCTTTCAAGTCCACACACTAAATTCCTCTGCATGATCATTTACTAATCATTCGTATGCCATACTCTGACTGTGACAAGTTCCTGGAGACTTGTTCCTCATGCCTGACTGAACAAAATGGAAGCCTGCGATCCGGTTCCAATTAATGGTTTCCTTGTCCAACAACCTTTAAAAATCCTGAAGTAACCTCTGAAACAGCTGCGCATCATGTGGTTTACCAGTTGCTTATAAAAAACTAATGGAAAAAACCCATCAGTTTGTGTGTTCAAAGAATGGATATGAGATAACTTTGGTTATTTCATTTAATCAAGCGTAGGGCGTCAGTGTTGCTCGGGTGAAATTGCTTTATATCTGCCTTCGGTTTTTAGTTTTTCAAAATTAAATATGAGGAGAGATGAAATTCTCAACCACAGTGTATTTTCTTTGTCTTAATTATAATAAATAATAATATTTATTGTTTAAAGCTTATTACATCATAAACAGATCTCAACAGGCTCTACATAAATGTAATATTCTAATATTTTGCCGTTTGTTCTTGTTATCTGTAGGAGGAGGTGTACAATGTCTGCGTGAACAGTTTAGTTGCTAGTTTTTTTGAGGGTTACAATGCTACAGTCTTCGCCTACGGACAAACGGTAAGTTCAGTGAAATGGATTCTCTACTCAAGTCTTTGATTTGTCCAAGAGTGCCAAACAAAAAGTGCAGTGAATCTGGACAATTGTCGACACTTGGGCAGCAAAAGAAGCAGTTGATGTTTCAAAAGAGACTGTTGGAGAAGGGATGCAGTCAGATTTGTCTGTTGGCCGTCAACGGCGGACATCGCAGCCCCTGTTCCGCTTCAGGAATGCATTCTTGGTTCCCCTTCGGCATAGATATCTTTGTTTCTTGTTCCAGGGTTCTGGTAAAACCTACACAGTTGGAGGACACACCGCAGCCACCCTGACGGAAGATGAACAAGGAATCATCCCCAGAGCTGTTCAACACATGTTCAGCATCATTGAGGTATGATAACCCCTCCAGGGCTAGGATTTGTCTTGATTTCAGGATTTTTCAAACAAATTATTTTAAAATCTAAAAACCCTCAACAAACCTCTTTGCTAGTCTTGCGACAGTTGATAGAGAACACAAGAAATGGGTATTCAAGGGGTGCTTTCAAGCAAACATAGAACATACACAGCTGTAGGGTCTTGATCGTTTGGTGTGGGGGGGGAGTTCGAAAGTGAATGCAGCCTCGGGCTCATTCTGCATGATGTTGAGGAAGAAAAAAATTATCAAAAGTCTTACTTACGGTCTCAATATCCTTGCTTTATTTCGTGGTGTTGTTTTCTGAGGGTGTTGGTGCTGTTATTTGATAAAATATACCAATAAGTTTTTCCTACTCGCCTATGAATTACTATTTGCCAAAGAAACCCAAATCCTGCCCCCTTGCTGGATAGGCCGCTGCTTTTAGTAATCATTTGATGGATATGTCATTTTTCTCCAATCTCACCTGTACTCCTAATTCCAAAGCCACAAATTATAGTCCTTTTCAAAGTCCAGGAAGTAAATTTAAAACCAAGGTGTAATGCATACCTGTGTATACATGTACATCAATTCTCCTAGTACTAGGCATTTTTCTGTTCTCATAGGAAAACCACAATGTCGATTACAACCTGAACGTGTCTTACATTGAGATCTACAAAGAGGAGCTCAAAGACCTGCTGGATTTGGAGACTAACAGTAAAGAGATGCACATCAGGGAAGATGAGCATGGAAACACTGGTGAATGCTTGTGAAGAAACTAAGCCATTGAGTCTGTTATGATCAGGAGGACCAGAAATATGTGGTTATGAGTATCCATGGTTATGAGTATCCAAGGTTATGAGTATCCATGGTTATGAGTATCCAATGGTTATGAGTATTCCATGGTTA